GTTTCCCCGGCATCTCGTGCCCTTAATTCAAACCTCAACTGCACGAACAACTCACGTGCCAAATATCCTCAATGTATATAAGATCCACATGGTCAATCTATTTCCACTAAAGCGAGTTTAAAATTTTTAAATCAAGTAAGAAATTAACAAAGAATTGAATTTATTTTTAGAATTCATTTGGGTGAAGAAAGTAATATTTCACTTAAATTAAGGCATCAGATAAACTACTGGTTTGGTAGTAAAATTATTTAATTTAAAATAAAATAATAATTTTTTTTATTTAAATCAACTCAATCATCGAAAATCAGTAAGAAAACCCAAAAATATACTTCTTCAGAATCACGTGCTAAAAAGTCAAAGCCAACACAATATAACTAGGAACACAAAACACATGATAATAAAGTCAACTAGTACATCACAGAAGAAGACAAGAATTTACATATTCAATGAAACAAAATCACCAAGACAGGAACATAAATAAAGAAATATCAACAAGGCACTCCCGAGATACCGCCTCGTAGTCCCAAATCATAAATAAATTCACAATATCTCATTTTCTTATATCACCGTGGGAGCCTTCATATTTAATTTTTAAAGAAATCATTTTTCCCGAAATGGCATCCCGCGTTTTAGCCATCCTTATCACACCGCATGACTTCTAGTAGTTCCCCTACTAGCCACGCGTTTCAAGCCACCCTTATCTCACCGCATGCGTTTCAACACCCTAACCTTATATCACCGCATAACTTCTAGTAGTTCCCCTACTAGCCATGCGTTTCAAGCCACCCTTATCTCACCGCATGCGTATCAATATCACAATATTTCACAAATCGTACCTCAAATGCCCAAATATCACAGCATAATACAACTTGCACCTCAAGTGCCCTAATATTACAACATATCACAAATTGCACATCAAGTGCTCAAATCTTACAACATATCACAAAATTGCACATCAAGTGCTCAAATATTACAACATATCATAAATTGCACATCAAGTATTCAATTATTACAACATATCATAAATTGCACATCAAGTACTCAAATATTACAACTTGCCACAAAAATCAACAACACATTATTTTTTCACAATAAGGAGCCATGACTCGATCATAATGTGCACAACATCTTAACAAAATATTCGGGAGTGAACAACTCAACCGAATAATATTTCACAATTTGGCACTTTGCCTCAATATGATTCACGGCCTTTATAATTCAATACCAAATTTTCCACAACGTGAACTGAAAAATAATTCATCTTATTAACTAAATTTTCCATTTTAACTATTTGTAGGTAAAATCAATAATGAAAGTATTTTTCATAAAAAAATGGCAACTCAAACAAACACAAAGTTCACATAAAAGTCAAGTGACAATCACACCAATTTATCATATAAAAACAACCTCGGCAAACAAAGAATGAAGCATGACAAATATGGGATTTAATAAGTTACAATAATTTTTCAACTTAATACTTAAGGGCGTAAACGAATTTCAACCGATATTATTTGCACATATAAACCAAGTACGTACTCATCACCTCGCGTACATAGTTTTCAATTACACAGTTTTCACATAAGACTCAATGCCTAAGGGATAATTCCCTCACTCGAGGTTAGGCAAGATACTTACCTTTTTAAAATTATGTCAATATTCCATAATCGCCTTCTTGCTTGAATTGACCTCCAAACACCTCGAATATATCCATAAATAATTCGATTCAGTCAATAAAATTTATTGAAATTAATTCCATAAGAAAATACTAATTTTCTAACAAAAATTCAAAATTAGCTCAAAAGTCGTCTGTGGGGCCCACATCTCGGAACCCAACAAAAGTTATGAAATCCGAAAGCCCATTCAACCACGAGTCTAACCATACCAATTTTACCAAAATCCGACCTCAACTCGACCTCCAAATCTTCAAATCTTATTTTCAAATCCCTAAATTCAAAACCGCGATTTACACCTAAAAACATGTAATCTAGTCGGATTAGTCGATGATAATTCAATATTATGGAGTAGAAATGATCACATGTGACTTACCTCAGTTCCTCTTTGCGAACGTGAGACCCCTCCCGCGAACGTGATGAAGGAAACCAGATACTGCACCAAAAAATTTCCAGCAAGGTTCCAAATCCAAAATTCATTCCGTTAGCCATCCGAAACTCACCCGAGGCCCCCGGGACCTCAACCAAATACACCAACAAGTCCTAAAATATCACACGAACTTAGTCAAAATCTCAAATTACATCAAACAACGCTAAAACCACGAATCAATTTTTCAACTTCTACATTCGATGCCGAAACATATCAAATTAAGTCCGGTTGATCTCAAATTTTGCACACAAGTCATAAATGATATAACGGATCTATTCAAATTTTCAGAATTAGATTTTGACCTCTATATCAAAAAGTCAACTCCCCGGTCAAACTTCCAAACTTAAATTTCTATTTTAGCCATTTCAAGCCTAATTTAAATACGTACTTCCAAATAAATTTTCGGATACGTTCCTAAATTCAAAATTACTATACAAAACTATTGAAATTATCAGAACACTAATCCGGGTCCGCTTGCTAAAAATATTGACCTAAGTCAACTTAAATGAGTTTTAAAGCACTACTTCACATAAAAATTTTCCGAAAAACTTTACGAACTGTACACGCAAGTCGAGGAATCCTGAAAGGTGCTATTCAAGGTCTTCGAACATAGAAATAAATATTAAATTTAAAGATGACCTTTCGGGTAATCACACCACTCACTGTCAAACTTTCCAAAAATCATCCAATTTCCAACTTTGCCAATTGACACCGAAATAAGCTACAGACCTCCAAGCCAACATCCGTACACGCTTCTAAGACCAAAATTATCATATGAACCTGTTGCAACCTTCAAATCCCGATTTTGAGGTCGTTCACTCAAAAGTCAAACCTTAGTCGATCCTTCCAACTCAAAGCCTTCAAAAATAAATTTTTCTTTCCAAATCAATCCCGAACTTCACGAAATTCAATTCTGACCATACGTACAAGTCATAATACCTGAAGTGAAGTTGCTCAAGGCCTCAAACCGCCGAACGACGTGCTAGAGCTCAAAACAACCGGTCGAGTCGTTACAACTAATGTACCCAAGTTCACAAGGTTAATTAACAGAATGGAGAGTAGCAGAGTGTTGATCAATTCCTGACATTATATATAGTCTATTAAAAGCACGAAGGCCCTTAGAGAAATGTCGTTCGCCTTTTTTACACTTTAAAAATCAGTTTTATATTGGATAAATTTGTAACTTAAATTACTTTCCTAATAATTAGGACTTTAAAATCAAGTCAATTTTTTGTTTACTAATTCAAAACTTATTTGAATTAGGTAATAAGTCTTCCGAAATTTTATGACCTTTTCAATTAATAAAAGAATTATATCAATTTATGGTAAACTTCTCCATATGCACACAGTACACGTTAGGTTTGTCTATTTTTTCTTTTTTGCTTAAATATAATTAATCATTTAAATTCTATTAGAATAAATTTATTAGTGGTAAATATTTAAACAATTATGAGAAATAAATATATCAACATAAATATACTTTCCATGTTAGATATAATGATAACTGCCATTGATATTTTATATGTTGGATATTACAATTGATTTTCTAAATTTCAATGAACCAATGTCTTAATTGTATATAATTTTAGTATCTTAATAAAAAAATAGAGAAATTTTCTTTACACCAATAATATCGTTAGATACAAAAACATATTATATCATGCTTATCTTCATAAGAAATATATAAATAACCTACCTAAATTCTTAATCGTTGCAAATTCAAAAGATAACCAATAACTATAAACCCGACTATTTCATCAATGTGACATTTATTTTTTAATTTAAATAAATATTACATTTATCTTGATGTCAATTGTTATCACATATAATTCATTCTGATTCTAAATTTTATACATTTTTTTATTAATAGATGCAACACTAAAGCTAGTTAGTAAAATAAGCTAGTAGACTACATTACAATTGATGCAATCTTGATTTTGTACTGCAAACCTATCTATTAACTCCACATATTATCAGCCACCTCAGCAAAAACATTGATACAAAACTCCTTCCTGTCCCAGTAATGATTTTGGAACGGAAAATGCTGACTCAGTACCGTCCCAGTAGCTAATATCCTTATTGAAAGTGGAGTTGAGAGAAAATAGGAATAAGGGTTGTGGTACAGGGATAACTACTCCTTCATCCTTAATCAGAGATTTCGGATTCGAGTCCTTAGGTATAAAGTCGCCTTTGTTAGGGAGCGCTTTACTCCGCAATATGGGACTTCCCAACGTGAATCCGAATTTAGTCGGGTTTCAATGTGGGTACCAGACACCGGGTGGGAAATTAAAAAAAAATGATCTAATGAAATCCCCTAATTTAAGGCACTAATAATGAAATGTATATAATTTATAAGAAATTCTTATTTAGGACGGATAATATAAAAAATTAGGATAATTTTAATAAATAAGTATCAAATTATATATAAGAATTTTTTTTTTTTTAATTTAAAACCCATAAAGTTAAAATGACCGCTCGTGTACGTGGACATGAGTTTCCTTCTTTGATAAAAAAATGAGTTTCCTTCTTTGATAAAAATTCTAAACCTACGCCGCCTGTGCAAAATATTTAAGAAAAAATTATTTCAACATGCCCGCAGCCGCACATGCTTTAACCCGCACGGCATATCATATGTTTAAACCCGCCCGTCCACACCCGTCCCGCCCCGTTGTCATTCATAATTTTTAATTTAAACTTTTGAGTGAGCAGGTTGATTCTTCTATTAATAAAAATTAATAAAAAATAGAAGGAGATTCACACAGGGATCCTTTATCTTCTCAGGATATATCAAGCAAGTACAGAGACTCGCGCGATAAGCCCACGTGATAAACAAAGTACAGGGGCATTTTCGTCATTGGATCGTCTGTACCCATTGGAGAAATGAAAGCGACAAATGACTTGAATGAAGGCAGCTGTCAGATTGTCAGCGCCAACTCAACTACGCACTCGCCGTCGATCTTCTTAATACTCGTCTCTCCCCGTTCCCCAATACAAAGAATATCCTTCACCTCGCCGGGATATTCTCTCGCCGCAACATATCGTTACAACACAAATATAAATACTTTGCTACAGTTTTGAACTTCGACTTTGCGTTTTGATACTTGGAGAGGGAATTAGGGTTTTGAGAATGGGGGATTCGCTGGAGCGTTTGGGATCCGAAGGAGCAATGGGACCGGAATCGAGTATAATGAAGGAGGATTTGTGTATGGATATAGATCCTCCCTTCGAAGAGAACCTCGCTACTGCTGAAGATTGGCGCAAGGCGCTTAACAAGGTGGTTCCTGCCGTCGTCGTTCTCCGGACCACTGCTTGCCGAGCATTTGACACTGAGTCCGCTGGTGCCAGTTATGCTACGGGCTTTGTTGTTGATAAGCATCGTGGAATTATACTTACAAATCGACATGTCGTAAAACCTGGTGATAATAACCATTCCTTTACCTAAAATGTTATCTTTTCAAGTTCAATTTTTTGTGTGATGGAAGTGTTGACTGTTATTTGCTTTGTAGGACCTGTGGTGGCGGAAGCTATGTTTGTGAACCGTGAAGAGATACCAATCTATCCGATATATAGAGACCCTGTGAGTTCATTTCCAAGCTCCATCTTTGGTATCTTTGTGGCACTTCGGTTTTATGTTCTTTGTCCCTATCTGTAATGCACTCTTTTCATTTTTGGGACGTTTCCAAATTCCATTAACAAAATAATTGTATACAACTTGCACACACTTTGCTGTGAGGTTTTTTTATTACTCCATCTGTCCCAATTTATGTGATGCACTTTTCATTTTAATCTGTCCGAAAAAGAATGATACTTACATTCTATATTTAGCATAAATATTTAATTAATTAATAATAAAAAGACACCGATTCACAATTATGGAACAATTATCAATCATTTAACTTGATCAAATAACAATGAAGCTAAGCCATGTTGTTAACTGAAAATGAGGTTCTTCAACAATTCTGAGTGATCAATTGTCATATATTTATATTTTTTTTCCTAAGCATATATCCATATAGTATTGTATATTAAATTTGTAATATTTTTAGCCGTATCCAGGCACTCCAACCCTTGCTCTTATTCTGTCCTCGAATCTTAAATGAAAGCGATGATGGGTCGGACACTTGCCCATATCGGGTACTCACACCCGTATCCGTATTCATGTGACAAAGGATAAGTCCTCCTTTGACCACCCAATCCATTAGTCTACTAAGGGCCTCCATCACAAACAAAAACAATAAATGATACTCCCTAGGTTTTATTTCAGATGTTGATGTCTGATTGGAGACGGAGTTTAAGAGAAAAAGAAAGATATACATGCCAAAGTGCCATGGCTATAAAAATATTTCATTAAGGCAAAACAGAAAATTTAAAGTTAAAGAGTTTTCAAACACAAAAATGTGTAACAAACCAAATAGAAAAGAGTGTTATATAAAATGGAACTGAGTGGGCCTATGTTGACTTCAATTTGATGCTATATATAGGTTTATAATGAAAATTGCTGAAGAATACTTGACAATCATATTCCATACTTATTTTATCATGAATAAACCTTGTTTATCCATCTTCTAGGTTCATGACTTCGGATTCTTCCGTTATGATCCTGATGCAATACAATTTTTGAGCTATGAAGAGATTCCTCTTGCTCCAGAGGATGCTTGTGTAGGGCTAGAGATTAGGGTTGTTGGTAATGACAGTGGAGAGAAGGTATGTGAATCAAGATTTTATCCCAGTGCCTTATTTTATTTTGTAAATTGATGCATCCAAGCTGTGTACTTCTTTACATGAAAGGAATTCGTTACGTTTTTGTTCTATTAAACTTGTCATATTCAGTCATATTATGACTAATGTATCCTGTAATTGATCAGAAGGGAATGACGTGAAATCTTGCCTACTCGTTATAAGAATCAGTAAATGGGTTAAAACTTTCGGGAATGAGTGTTTCGACTCGTAGTAATTTAGATGGCGGTGTCATTCCTGTAGAAAAATTCACATGATGGAGGCATCATGGCTCAAAAAAAAAACTTTGGAGGCCTGATATCATTCAAAACTTGTAGAGGGGGTACATAACTCTTCATGTGTTATTCCTTCTCAAAAAACTCCTGATGTGTTGTTTTGTTTGTAAAATAATCATGTGATTGTTGAATGCATATATGGTATATGCCTGGTCTTCAAGGTCAAGCATTAGAATGCATAGGTTGTTCAACTTTGACCTATATGTTGCTGTAGCTTGGCAGCATGAAACAATGTCTTTTTTCATCCAAAGCACTGAAGACAAGCTAACTGTCATGAGTCTTTACCTTTATTAACCAAATTTGTACTCTCTGATCCTGCATGTGAGCTGACGTGAGCAGTCAAGGTTGCCTCTTAAATACAATGATTATGGTTGTGTTTATGCTGATGCATTTATATTATTTTGGAGTGCCTTTGAGGCCACTTTTAATCGTTTGAGGCCACGGTTTTTTGGATTAAGGGGTATGTTGCAATGCTAAGACCATCCAAGAGTTCACTTAAATTTACTTGACCTAATAGCAGTGTTTTTAGATTTACTTGATCTGTAGTTGTTCGCAGGTTTTTTCTAGTCATTTTGATGGGTGTTAGGAGGTTTTGCTTGTCTTTCTGCACGAACAGTTTGAAATTTTGGATTCTTGAGGTCTTTTAGGAGTTTGGTGCCACTATTACTGAGTTGTCCATCATCTTTTCCTGTTACCAACATTGTGTTACTGCTATAGTTTATTGTTTTTCTTGCACGACTCTCAGATTTGGTGTGTTACATTACCTTTCTTTTTTAGGCTCTCGTTCCTTTACTGACATATTGATGCAGCTAATATATGGTTTAGTTTGCTACAATGGTTCTCAGCTTTGTTGTGTTACATGACCTTTCGTAGGCTCTCGTCCTTTTCCTTGCATCCTTTTGATTGTTTTTGAGGGGCTATATAATCTATAGAATATTTCACATACTATTCCAATTTGCTTTATTCTGGATTCTGCAGGTGTCTATTTTAGCAGGAACGCTTGCTCGTCTTGACAGAGATGCTCCGCATTATAAAAAGTATGTGCTAGTTTACCTAAAATGTCCATTAACCTGGAGATCTAACGTATTTCACTAAATGTTATGAGCCATAAGAATCTCATTAGTGTTTACTATCCTTCAAAATTTCTTTGGTGGACCTTATTATTAGCAGTAAGTTCTTGTGTTTTAAGTACTAAGCACAAATTGTAGGCGCCTGTTGTTTTAAGCTGTTCCTTTTCCTCTGATTGATTTTGGGTTGTGCAATTATGTCACATGATGACTGCCCTGCCTCAAAATCAATCTAGTGAATATTGTTGTTTGTTTTATTGCATGTCGAGGAGTTCTGTTCTGTCCAAACACAATGAGCCAATTAAAGCTTTTAAATATTAAAATGATCCCTCTTAGATTAAATAACTAAACTATGAACTATCATTTGATTACAAAGCCAGGTTTGTAATGTTATGGGATATCTTTTATGCAATGAGCCATCTTTGTAGTGTTTGTGACGGAATCCACTTTGATTTTGGTATTGCAAATGTTTGGTAGTACAACTTATTCCTTTTGATAACTCCAATTTTTGGTGCAGGGATGGATACAATGACTTCAACACATTCTACATGCAAGTAAGCAGATCTTGTGTTATTCGATCTAGCAGTAGAAAATTTCGGCTTTTTAGCCCTTGAAAATTTGCTCTATTTATTTGTTTAGAGTGCGCTATTATCATATATATGTTAAACGTGTAACTTGTCAAGGACCATTAATCTATGCGTGAGAGAGAAGCAAATGTGGCTTAGAACTTTAAGGCGCCTGTGTGGACTAAAATCTAAGAATCTGGTTGAAATCTTATACAAAGTTTATTCATGGACTAGTGGTCCCTAATAGGATGAGAGCAGAGAGAAAAAGGCATGGCGAATAGGATGTGGCTCCTCTGGCTCTTTTATGGGTATCCTGGGGTAAGAGTCATAAGAGCTTTTAAGGGAGTAGAAATGATCTTGTATAACTGAGAGCTAATATGTTGTTCTTAGTTAATTTTGGTGAACCCGTGAAGTCCCTGTTAGCGCAGATGCTTTGAGGTCCTTCCTTAAAGACATTACTTTTATCCAAGTTTTCTACTTTTTATACACCAGTTGTACAGGGGAAGACTTCTGACATCAATAAATTATTACTATATCAAGAAAGATGTCAGTGTGGTTCTGAGTCCAGGGATGAGATGGTTGTGAACTTGTTTAATGTTGAACCATCTAAGAGACATTTCTGCAGACCCCACTTGTGGGATTACACTGGGTTTTTTGTTGTTGCATCTAAGAGACATTTCATTGCCTTCCTGCAGCCTGCAGATTTTGGGTGGTTGGTCCAGATAAGAGTTTAGCAGTTAGACCAGACGGTTTCTGTACAGTTTAATGATCCTTCTTATGCCTACATTTAGTATTTTTGAGTAGCAACTTAAGAAAGGAGATTGCTGACGATTAGTTTTGGCATTGTATATCCTAGATAGATACCAAATGTTAATTCAAATGTTGTCCTTGTACAAAATTTTCATGTGCTTGATCCGAGAAAAAAGAATTCGGCTCATAGGTGGGGTTGCTTATTGCATTCCAGGAAACTTCTAGTTTCTTATTTTAGGTCTTTATAGGTCCACCTCAACTTTTCGGTAACTATAGTCGTTGATTTACTTTTTTGTTCTTTGCCTACAGGCTGCCTCTGGGACTAAAGGTGGTTCAAGTGGCTCCCCTGTAATAAATTGGCAAGGGAGAGCTGTTGCATTGAATGCTGGGAGCAAGTCATCAAGTGCTTCTGCATTTTTCTTGCCTTTAGAACGAGTTTGTACACGTTCTTTGATCCTCTCTTTGTTAAAGACCTTTCTAATGCCCTATTTCTGAACTGCGGAAAGTGTGTTTTCACTTGACTCTAGATAAACTAGAATTTTTTTGAATTTAACTAGTGAAAAGTATTGTCAGAGACGAGTGCTTTCCAACAATACTATAGCATTGCAAGTCCTTCTTGATTCCTTGAATTGGCAAACAGTACACATTTTATACTTCTTCGAAATTGGCTATTTGCGTTTTGATTTATATTCTGCTAGTTCTTCATTTTTTTTTTTTTATTATATCGGGAAACCATATCCTTCATTTGATCATCCTTTTTTTCCTTTATTCTGGGTTTTCTGATGTCACCGTGCACTAGCCCCTGTTATGCATGACGGCGAGTAGGTATTCTCCATCATTTGAATTACACTCATGTAATCTATGGGATATAGGATCCAGATTCTTTATTTCCTGAAACAACAGATAAAGTGATTTCTTTTTCATATTTGGTCTTGTCCTGTTATTGCTCATGCATCATCCTTGAAATGGGTTCATATATGGGAGGGGATTTAAAATCTAAAGTTTCTTCATATGACTTCCACTCAATTTTTTTCTTCTTCATTATTTTATGGCCTATTCCATACTCCATCTACTATCAAATAACAATCCTTTTTTCCTTTTAGAATTATTTTCTTACGAAAATGGGAGTACAGATAGTTATGAGTTTTCCATATTCTGCATGTTTATTTCTATTTTATTTCATAAGCGTTTACATTTAATTGTTTGTTACCATCTCAATTTTTAATTGTCTGTATGACTCATGTTGGTGCCTTATTTGGTGGCATTTCATATTTTCTGTTTCCCTGAAACCTTTCTTCCCCTATATTGCTGGAGAAAGTTTGAACTTTCTCCGTTATTAAGTTAATTAATTACTCGATTAATTAACAGACACAATCATTTTGTATATTTATTTTTTTCTATCTAGGTTGTCAGGGCACTAAAATTCTTACAGGAAGGAAGAGATCTTTCTACAAATAAATGGGAGGCTGTCACTATTCCTCGTGGTACGCTTCAGGTTTGTTAGTTCTTTTCTTCTGGAACTCATTCCCCAACCTCCGCTCTCTCCTTTAGGATTTATTTTTATACCTTATTTCTTCTGAAGTGATATTGCTCCTTTTGTTGCTGGCTTTCTTGATTTGTTAGTTGTAAAACACTATTTTGATCCATTCATTTACATCTAGCTTTAGTCTTTGTCAAGAAAGTAACTTGGTGGAGAAATAATCTCTCTTCTGATATTCACGCTTCCTTAAACTGGAAATGATAAATGTCATACTGCCTTCCAGATGTATTTTAACTTGTAGTCTCCTGGTTGGTTTTTCTTTTTGATAACATGATGTAACGGATTCTTTTAATAAGGTGTGACCAGAGTACATTGCTTCTGATGTACTAAAAATATAAGGAGTGTTTTTCTAGTACCAAATGTATCTACTCTAGCATCTGCCCTCTTCATATGACAGAATTGATTTTAGAAACAACAGGTGTCAGAATATTTATTTTGATGTCATGTTCTGTATCTTTTGTGGCCACAGGCATGGTCAGACATTTTTTTGATATGTATTTTAATAATTTGATCATTCATGTTAGATAATCCCCAATATTGATCTTCATAGGTAGGTATCTGATATATGTGGATTTATGTGTTAACTTTTGGTCTATCAGATAATATGTCTTTTTGTTTGACCTTTTCTTCCACGATAAATATTATTATATTCTAATTGAAAGTTTTTGGAGGGGAATTATGTCTTGAATGTGTTTTACTTCAAACATGCTTGTCCTCCAAGGCTCAGCTACCTATTAAGGGGAAATTTATTCCTCTTTTCCTTTTTTTGATGGTCAAGTAATGAAAAAATTGTCGGAATTCAGAGTCTTTCAAGCTGGTGACCTTCACAAACAAAGATACTGACCCTTTAGCATGTCTTACTTCAGTCTGACAGCTTAATGTGCTACTCATCGGAGTCTCTCGTGATATCATAATGTAAACTTGAAACTCATATGCAGACATGTGTAATTCTAAAATATTTTTATGATATAGGTAACTTTTATCCACAAAGGATATGATGAAACTCGCCGGCTTGGCCTCCAAAGTGCAACGGAACAGGTAAGCACCAAAATTTTTTGTTGCGTGCTCTATTAATAATATAACCATACAATTAACTTTTGAAATTGGACTTATATAGTTGGTGCGCAATTCCACTCCACCCAGTGAAACTGGAATGCTTGTCGTCGATTCGGTGGTAAGTGCACTTCTTTTCAAGTGATCTTGCCACAGTTATGTTCTGTGTATCAACGCTTATGCTCTCTCTGGGATTGTTACAGGTGCCCGGTGGCCCAGCTCATAATCATTTAGAGCCCGGTGATGTGCTTATTCGTATGAATGGGGAGGTTAGTCTGGCTTTGATGTTTTAGGACATCTTATATTGATTTTCTCTGCCCTCATTGCGCTCTGTTTCTCGGTATAACTTCTTAAATTTTTTATGTAAGAGCATCTATTTGGCTCATATCTGGGGCTCATTGTCTGCTTTCTTTTCCCTCTATCACTGCATCTAGATTATGCAGAGCTTCTTCAATTGTCACGAACCAACAATTGAACCGGGACGAATGAGAGACCTAATTTGACAAAGTCATGCACTTGTCAGTCCTTCCCCTTTATGGTGTTCTACATGGGCAAAAGATAGTTCTAGTTCTCCAATTTCTTTCCTCTCAGACCAACACGAATCCAGAAAATTTACATTGTATGCAATTGTTACCTTAGATAGTTGGAACATCATTCATTTGATGTTTCATAGCACTAATTTGCCTCCTGTAAGCTTCATTCAGGTGATCACCCAGTTCCTGAAGATGGAGACTTTACTTGATGACAGTGTCGAACATAAAGTTGAGCTTCAAATTGAAAGGGGTGGAACTCCTTTGACAGTGGAATTGGTGGTGAGTGTTGTCTTTGATGTTGAAATTTTTTTTGCTTTATTTTTTTTGCATTTATGTTCTGTTACAACGCTGTTATAAAAAGATTAGGATTTTGGTTCATCTCAGTTAACTTAATTTGTTAATTCATCCAGGTTCCAATATACTTTTATCATGCTAAGAGTAGGGGAGATCTCAGTCAATAATTTTGTGATTTGAATATCATATCTCTGAATATTTCATTGAATATAGGTATTGCTTATTGAACTGACCGATCACATTACTAATCCTTGATAACACGCAAGAGATAATCATAAATACACACAAAAGGTTTCTACTAATGACTGAGCATTTCCATTGCATATCTTACAAAAAATATGCTAGAATCCCATTTTTCAAGATAATGTAGACAATGAGTTACGAATAGCCCAGAACAGCAATAACAGAAGGCATAATGAAAATAAACTTGTAGACCTTTGAGGAAAATTTATCATCTCCAATATCTATATTGATATTATTACCGCCATGACCCTATCCAATATGATGTGACTAAAGAAAATTAAGAATCACATGAGTATCACGGAGCGTACAGAAGTAGGACAAGCATCGACATCATAAGCACAAGCATCATAGTATATGCTTTGGGATTGTAAGATACAGATGTTATTCGCACACAAATCGCTGGTCATGAGACATACTATGGGGCACCTTATTGAATGGTATCATACTATCATGTGATGTATGCCGTAAGATGCTCAAAACTGTGACTAGAATGAATTTTGGATATATTAAAGTTTGGATAATATTAGCTTGTGATGAGTTTATATGGAGTAACATGGTCAGCGAGGATTCATATAGCCCGGCCTCAACTTGTTTGGGACTGAGGCGTAGTAGTTTTGTATTAAAGTTTGGGGAGTAAAGCAAAATTTGTATGGTATTGCTCAGTTGAATATTAGAAGTTAAATTTTGTTGCAGTTTCAGTTTGTTGAATTGTGTGACCAGCTCGTCCAAAAGTTTAAGCTATTAGAGAGGGGACACATTTATTTGTTTCCTGTAGCAACACGCCCACTCACGTGTGGGCTTGACTATCTTTCTTGGGGTAATTTATTTTGATTATGGGTGACAGTTAGGCTTGATTCAAGACCTCTGCTAGATTGCTTTGCTACCATGTTGAATTGTGTGACCACTTCGTCTAAAAGTTTAAGCTGTTAGAGGGGACACATTTGTTTATTTATTGTAGGTCTGCAACACAAACGACTGGGTTATTGTTTGTGATTTTGTTTTTCATTTTTCTTTTATTATTTGTCATATTCTAACTGGGTCTTTTGCATGTCTATTTCCATGTACATGGTGCACATTACTGTTGGATACCTGGAAGTACTATGTTAGCAGTTGGTTGGTGTGTGAACACTAGTCCGTTCTAAGTTTCTTAATATTTGGGTTGAGTAAGTTTCTTTTTAGCAGAAAGTTGGGGCAATATTTCATGGGATTCAGTGGTAGTTCAACTCAAAAAGAGGAAAAGAAGCTACGATGGTAGTTTTCCGTCAGGCTTTGCTCTGGTCGAAGGAATCAGAAGGAATGATAGAGATGACAATTATATTATGTGTGAATATGCTTCCCTCCCTTTGTTTTTTCTATAGCTATTCACTCGTAAGGAGAAGTTGTCTTTGTGGTTAGCTTAGTTTTGTTGCAGCATTTTCTTCCTTTGTCTGAATAAAAAAGAACAATGCTACTGAATATTAACGCCTACAGTCTCGTCAATAAGGTGAATTTTGACTTCCTCAAATAACCAATTTTACTGATTTGGAGAGTAAACTGTAATATCAAAAGCAGGAGGTGTGTGCACTCTGGGGAAAGGCTACCATCAAAATATGCTTAAAACAAGCCCGAGAAGACTTTATTTGAACACAATGGGAGAGATTTAGTAATTTTAAATGGTCGAGAAGATACGGAAGGGGGATAATATGGTCTTCTGAGAGCTCTAAGGATTTTTTTTCATGAGTAACAAATCTTATTAGAAGAAAGGGATAAATCCTACATATGACTCCCTGGCTTTTTTTCCCTTCAGGTTCAGGATTTGCATTCAATTACTCCTGACCGCTTCTTGGAAGTCAGTGGTGCAGTTATACACCCCCTTTCATATCAACAGGTTTGTGAGATTTGCTGCAAGTGCCCCCCCATCTTTGATGCGTCTCTAGCAACGTTGGTTATTTATAAATCCTGTTAAAATTAGTTCTCCACATTATACCCATTCCTATGTGAAATGAATATTTAACTAGTCGCAAGGGAAGAATTGGTGCTAGGATGCTCTGTTTTATGACTTGCTGTCTGTTTGGCTTGCCTAACATGCTTGTTTTACAGTTTTAGAAGAAATTTAGCAATCTGTTTCTGGTTTATGCAAGATATTTTTGATCTTGCCAATTGTTCATACTCATTTTTTTATTCTGAAAGACAGTAAGACTCCAATTGTAGAATTGGATAGTGGCTTTTATCTGTTTCGCCCATGCCTTTCTGGATGTCTTTTGTTTTGCTGCTATATGAGGCATAACAAGCTTAGGAGGGTTCAGATGGAGGCACATAAAAACCAAAGTAGTAAAATTCTTGGTATGTACATTTGGTGCCTTGGGGCTTAGGCGAATGCGAGTTTTCAAGCGTTTTTTTTCCATATTGTTAATGTGAAGGATTTATGGAAGTTTCAAGTACAGCACTCTGACGTGTGAGAACCACAATCTGATAATTCAGTACATTGGATTTAATCTTGTTTACAACTACCATGAAAACAAATTTTCTTCAGACGGCATCTGAAATGCTGTCATTGTCTGAATTTTGGTTCATGAAAATTGAAAGCATGTATCTAAGTACCTTTTCTTTCTCTATTTTATCAATTTGCAGTTCTTTTGTTATTCTTCTGCATTGTCCTTGCACATGACTCATGTCCATTTCAAGCGCAGCCTCCTTAGACTATTATACTCAATAAAGCTCCCAGTCAACTACATGAAGATGCAGAACAGAGTTCAGTATGTGGGGTTTGTCGCCAAACATCTGATAGCTGAATAGTAACACGTGTCTAGAATACCATTTGACTTTGGATGGTTCAGGAATTTGTCATCCGTTAGGTTCTTGTGGTTAATAATTTGGTTCTAACAGTTCTCATACTTCTCCATTGATTCCGAAGTAACTTGATTGGGAACCCTTTTAGTTACTTTTTTCCATGTTGAACTTGGAACATTGTCTTGTTGCTCTACTTGCATTTCTGTCTGTTTGGTGTCAGAAGGTGGTTCATGTCTGGCAAGCAAGGAACGCTTTATCAGGGATTTTTTCCTGTCTTTCCATATTATTGCAGATACTTTATGAGGGTTGGAGCTCTGGATATGTTCCCCGCTTCTTGAAGAAAATTAATGCCTTATCTCTTTTTGTCAGTTCTAATCGTGTAGTTTGTATTTGAGGGGCAGACATATGTTTTCTTTGAACTTTTAGATGGAGACTCTTTCTTTTGCACATTAAGTGACCTGTTATGCTCATATTGATTTCTCTTCCCTTCTCTGTAACGTGTGATTGGAGCTCTCATTCCTGCTTTTATTCTCTCTTTCTTAATGCAGGCTAGAAATTTCCGCTTTCACTGTGGTCTTGTCTACGTGGCAGAAACAGGGTTTGTACATTTTCATTTCCATGTTTAGATGATTATGCCGCAATCTTTGGTTTATGTTATTTAGCTTTACCTAACAGATAATATTCTGAGGTTTCTGGTTTAAGTGTGTTTTTCTATAAGGAGGTTTGTAGTTTTAAGTTTAAAATTCTGGTGATGCAATCTTTAAAAGTTTTTGACTGGAAAACGAATTTTTGACAGTTATTCACTACTTTCCTATTGTAGATATATGCTATTTAGAGCAGGAGTTCCTCGCCATGCCATCATCAAGAAATTTGCAGGAGAAGATATATCAACTCTTGAAGATTTAATTTCTGTTTTATCTAAGTTGTCTAGGGGTGCACGAGTACCGTTGGAGTATATAAGTTACAATGATCGTCACCGGAAAAAGGTATTAGTAGTGCCTCTTTGCTGATGTTGATTTTCACCACTTGTGCTCTGCTATCTTTCAGACAACAATCATTGCCTCTTTAACAGCTGCATCTAGTTCCTGCTTTCAACTGCCCTTTCCTTCTGTTTCTTGGCAAAACATGATAATTTGTTCATCTACTAATTNGTGGACGGTGTAACCAATATGGAAACTAGTTGGGACGGTGTTACAGAGGGACCAAACAGTCGCGATGATTCTGATGCTGGAACTAAGAAACGCAGGGTGGAAGAAAACTTTTCTGCAGATGGCAGTGTAATAACTGACCACTCTTTAAATGGACATAGAGAGGAAAGGTTCGATGACTCTGGCTCCCTAGAGGATGCAGCTCTAAGAGATCAAGGTGCTGCACCTGCGGCAGCTAATGCCTCCGTTGCTGAGCGTGCGATAGAGCCTACTCTTGTGATGTTTGAGGTAGCTTTTGTTACTCCTACGTCTGTNCTCTCCTACATTTGTTTCTCGTGTTACTCGTGTTACTGGAGTTGGGTTTTGTTTCCTAAGCAGTTTTACTTACTGAACATTGGTCTTTAGGGTTAGTTTTTTTTACCAGTATCGAGAAGTAATCCCTGTATATGCTCTGATTATCAGTTGTTCTGTTGCCATTTCGTTGTGCTTCTGTATTAATGATCTCCACATTAGTAATACTGTAAGGGTGTATTACTTTATTCTGATTCGACGTGCAATAACATTACACGCCTTAGATTTATACGTGTATATCCAAAAAATTAATTACTCATCCAGATTGTAATAACGTTGAATCAAACATCTGATAGCAATTACATGATTCACTCATTCACTATATCATATGACAATCTCTATATTGTAATGTATGTATATTGTATAACTTGTTTGCTAACCACAACCCCTTCTCCTTTCTTCGTGATTCCTGGGAGGTAAATTTTATCATCTAAGCGGAAGAATCAGTGCAGGTGGATGTGTGTATAGAGCACATCTCCTCTTTGTTTTTTGGCAGCTGTAATTGGGAGGTATATCTAGACATGTATGGTGCTCTGGTTATTCCTATATCCATCTTCTAGGTTCTTAGTGTCTCTCATGATTATTTACCTCATAAAAATAAAAAAAAGTGCATAATCTGGAATACTGGGCTCGAGAGGAACAGAAGATGTTTTGAGGGAAAGGAAGAGAATGTTTGAATTGTGAAAAAAAGATATGTCCAATGATTGAAAATGTGGTGTAATGCTAAATTTTTCTACTGGAATTGATGTAATGCTAGAGTTTGGAGTCCTTACAGTTTAAATGATTCATACCCTGCAATATCCTTGTATTATGCTCCAGTACTGGCTTGGTATTGGTATCTATTAATAAATTATCTTTAACTTATAAAAATGATATGAAAATTGCAGGTCCACGTACCATCATTATGTATGCTTGATGGAGTTCACTCACAGCATTTCTTTGGAACTGGTGTAATCATATATCATTCCCAAAACATGGGCTTGGTTGCAGTTGACAAAAACACTGTTGCAGTATCAGTTTCTGATATAATGCTATCTTTTGCTGCTTTTCCTATCGAGATTCCTGGAGAGGTAAAACCTATTGTTGTTAACACTCTTACTTGCTATATCAGCTAATTTGTGTTGAGCAGCTCGGTAATATTTTCAGGTAGTTTTCCTCCATCCTGTCCATAATTTTGCTCTAGTCGCATATGATCCTTCTGCTCTTGGAGCTGCTGCTGCTTCGGCTGTTCGTGCTGCTGAACTTCTTCCTGGTGAGTGCAAACTTCCTCGCTTGATCCTTTATGCATTGCCTTTCTTAGATTTCACCAAAAAGATGCCTTTCTTTTTATTGTTGATGCTGATGGATTGACGAAGTGATTTGTCTCTATTCTAGTTGCTTTTCGTGCATTGTTGATACACTCCTGGGTCAAGAATGTGACTGCAGTCGAAAATTAGAAAAGATCCTACTTGTTAGATGGTGTTTTAGACATCCAGCTCTGTTCATAATGTGCTTTAGGTTTTTCAGAACATAATCCCGCTTTAGCACCATCTGTTTTCTCTTCTCTTTTTACTATATCATCGTTTAATATTATTGTATGGTTAGTGGTCTTGTAACCTAGTTGAGTTTTGATAACAGTGGTCTCCCGCTCCTTATTGATATACATGGATCTGTTATATAAGCTTAATGTACTGTACCAATGATGTATATTAAAAAGAAGACCCTTCTTCGAATGTGGTGACGATCTTATGATGAGTGGGATACCTTGGAATGATTATTGAAGTGGAACCCATGCAGGTCCGATTTAACTTGATGTGCTTATATGTCTTCCAGAAAATGTTGTCTTATACAACTACTATGCCTCAGTTCCAAACAAGTTGGGGTCGGATATATGAATCCTCACTGACCATGTTCCCCATTTAAATTCATTCATCTCAGGTCAACATTTTACAAAATAAAAAAGTATGATAAGTACTAGAAGTTATCTATATTTTCTACAGGCATAAAAATCTCTAATAAGGCTACAGACTCCTAGAAAGCATAGGAAAGATGCTATCTTATCTGTAGTATTATCTGCTATTGTTTTTGAAACTATTTGCCAACAGATCCCGCTCTTCGTCGTGGAGATTCAGTATATCTTGTGGGATTGAGCAGAAGTCTGCAGGCAACTTCCAGGAAATCAATTGTGACCAACCCGTCTGCTGCTGTGAATATTGGATCTGCTGATTGTCCGCGATACAGAGCGACAAACATGGAAGTGATTGAGCTTGACACGGGTAAAACTGTCCCACTTGTCTTCCTGATTCTGTAATCCTATAGTAGCTTGGCATTTTGTTTTAGGCATTTCTTTGATGCTATCATGATTCTCGTTTTCAGATTTTGGAAGTACGTTTTCTGGTGTGCTGACTGATGAGCGCGGCAGGGTTCAAGCTTTATGGGGAAGCTTTTCAACACAGGTTTGTACTCCCATCTGGCACTTCTCTCTTGTTAATTGGATGAAACTAGTTTATAACTTCTTTTCTGATAAAATAACTGGGTTTACTTCTTCCATTTTCTCAGCTCAAATATGGTTGTAGTTCATCAGAAGATCACCAATTTGTCCGGGGTATTCCAATTTATACCTTAAGCCAAGTCCTTGGCAAGATTATTTCCAGTGCCGACGGACCTCCTCGTCTTATAAATGGTTTGCAAAGGCCTATGCCACGATTAAGAATATTAGAAGTTGAACTTTACCCAACTTTGCTTTCCAAAGCTCGGAGTTTCGGACTCAATGATACTTGGATCCAGGTAAGCTGCTACTTCTGAAGATATCTGTTTGGCTTGCTTTTCCTTTTAGCCATATCTTACTCCGAGTGTGATATTTTTCTTTTTAAAGTTATCTGATTTAAAAAGATTTACTTAGCCAATGCACCTGTAGAAACTAGATGTATTTCTTTGAAATGTATTTCTTTGAAATGTATATCCTTTAAAGCTTTTTCTAACAACTTATGCTACCCTCATAGAGAACTAGGCGAGGATTATTTGATGGTGACCAGGTGTCTTCGTATTCTAGATTTGTGTGTATATATAGGCGTGGCCCATGTTTGTGATCCTGAACAGTTCTGGAATAGTAATGTTTGTATATGCAAGTTTCAATGTGGAAGGGGAGCCTTCGACAACGATAAAGTTGTCTCCGTGTAGGTCACGGGTTCGACCCGTGGAAGCAGCCACTAATGCTTGCATCATTAGGGTAGTCTTTCTACATCACACCCCTTGGGGTGCGGCCCTTCTCCAGACCCTGCGTGAACGCGGGATGCCTTGTGCACCGGGCTGCCCTTTTTTATGCTAGTTAAATGTGAAAAAACATGTGCACTCAAATGGTAAGATCCAAATCTTATGTTTTTGAAAATACAATTTACTAATTTTATCGTGTAGCTTTTTTTTAAATTTACTTATTGTGATAAAAATTAAGTTTAAAATACATTGATATGTTAAAATGGCTGTGTCACACATATAAGATACTATTATGTTTAACTGTGCACTTCCTGCCCTGACTTTAGTCTTCTAAAGTTTACAGGTAAAAAAGTGATGTTGAACCCAGTCAGTTCCATATTGTATCTATCTCAATCTAGTGCTCCTTCTATGTTTGGAATTTGGTTGGATGGGAGATCCGTGGATCTGCACATGATCATTGATCTTGAGCATCTCTGATTGCTTGAATTGTTTGCCCTAGTTTTTGTTATTAAAAAATATAAACGGTTTATGTTCCTGTGTATGCCTCTTGTTGTCTGCTTCAGCCCCATTTAACCTTCTTTTTTTGGATGGTATATATTTTATAATCAAGACTATGTTTTATGCTTAGTGAGCATAAAAAAGATACTTAGATAATCATCAGAAGATGTTTGAAATGGGTGCACCATATGCGTGTTATTATGTAAGCATTTTTTAACATCTGGCATATCTTCTAGGCCCTCGTAAAGAAGGACCCTATGAGACGCCAAGTTTTGCGAGTTAAAGGTTGCTTTGCTGGATCAAAAGCTGAAAATTTATTGGAACAAGGGGACATGGTCTTAGCAATTAATAAAGAGCCAGTTACATGCTTTCGTGACATCGAAGATGCATGTCAATTATTAGACAGGTCTGATGACAGCGAAGGAAGGCTTAACTTGACAATTTTTCGTCAGGTGAGCCTCTGGAGCATTTCTTTTTCATTTTCTTCCCCAAACTTTTTCATGTATTTGGCCAAAAGGACTTCACTACTGTTAACCTTCCTTGCTGTCCTGCTTGACTCAGTTCTTCATTCTCTAAGATTCTTTTAAGTTATTTGATGAATTCTCAGGGCCATGAAATTGAACTACTTGTGGGAACAGATGTGAGGGATGGAAATGGAACAACTTGTGCTATAAATTGGTGTGGTTCTATTGTCCAAGATCCTCATCCAGCTGTTCGTGCACTTGGATTTCTTCCCGAGGAAGGACACGGAGTATATGTAGCAAGGTGAGTAGTTGCTAGGCTGGAAGGCTCGTTTAGATTAAGAAAGTTGGAAGCATGTTTCTTGAGAAAATTGCAGCAAAATAATTGAAAAAGGAAATAATTTTCTTTTACGCATTTGTCTTAAAATGAAGAGCAAAGTCCAAATTAAGACAAAAATATTTTTTTTTTCAAGTTTCCTACACCTATTGGTAGACTTTATTTGAAAGAAACCAGAAATATTCTTGTGTTAACCAATTTCCTCATAACTTATCAACTGAAAAAATAGAGTTTATTATAATTATTCCTTGTTATTATTAAAAGGAGAAAGGACGAGATAGAGAGAATAATTGTTGCTAGTTAGTAAAATTATTAGATGTGCTGAAAAACTATTTGTTGGGCAAGAAAAATCACTGATCAGCATGTAGCAAGGATTTTTTGTTTCAGACAAAGGGCTCGTTGAGCCTTTCTAAATTTCATGATGCATGCATTTGGTAATGCTTCTAATGTAAAAGAAAGAAAGGGCAGTTGGGCATCTTTTGTTGAGTTAGCTATTAGCTATTTGTCCACTATTATTAATGCCTAAAGTAACTCTCAGGTGGTGTCATGGAAGTCCAGTACATCGATATGGTCTTTATGCACTTCAATGGATAGTTGAAGTCAATGGAAAACCAACTCCCACTTTGGATGCCTTTGTTGACGTGGCGAAGGTATGACTTGTTATTCTGAGATGATTTGTAAACATTGTATGTGTATGGAAAGCTATGAATATCAGCATAAAATAGTCCTTACTGATCTTATAGTTTTTGGTTGAGATCTTGTTACTATCCTGGTTCTTATGCCTAGCTATTTAACTTTTCCCAGACAATAGAGCACGGAGAGTTTGTCCGGGTACGAACAGTCCACCTGAATGGGAAGCCTCGAGTACTTACATTGAAGCAGGATTTACATTACTGGCCAACATGGGAGCTGAGGTTTGATCCAGGAACTGCTATGTGGCGACGCAAAACAATCAAAGCTTTGGACTCTGGTGTTTTGTGAACTTACTTGGCTGATTAGGTTTTCCTGGGGGAGTGCAAAATTGGGGAACGTGTAGAAAGTTCACCGGCTGCGTTGGTAGTTACTCTAACTTATTGGAGTTGAAAGTCGCCATACATCAATATATGCAAAATCATATAAAGCAGGTATCTGGCTTTATATACTATTTGTTGTAAATGACCGTTTATCGGATGAAATTAATAGGTGGTAGAATTTTAGACAAGTTATAAGTGCTAGCGCTATACATGTCTTTGTGAATCAGAGTATGTAAACCATAAACTAGGAGGGGACTTTTTGCCACCAGATTCTTGGTGATCCCCCCTTTTGCCCTCTAGGCTAAATCCATTTTTTTCCTTTTGAAATCATTGTGTCAATTTAGCTGACAGTGTTAGATCCCATTTATGCCATTGCTATAATATTTTAGAGTTGTATTCCTTCTTTCTGACATCTCCAGAATTTTGGCCGGTTATGACTAACGTACTAACTCGTTGTACAAAACCCTTGAACTTGTTTAGAGGTGAAAAACAACTGTATGGGAAGAAAACAGTTGGAAGAAATGTGATGTTCTTTCTTTCAATTTACTACTCTCAATAATAGACAATTATTGAAATTGAGAATTTGAGTACTTATCACTTGTACTGTTGCCCTCGGAGAAGAGACGGGTAAAAAATAGTGTCTAGAAAAAAGTCATTTGTACCATTGCACTACAGATGAACTTCCTTCTAACGAAAGCCAAATGCTAAAAGAAAATTAGTGTGCTGATACAAAATCGTACCTTCATTTGGTGCATTACTGAAACCAACCAAGGAAAAGTGTAACTAGTATCAATAACTTGCTGTTCATCCTTTTGATTGTCCCATAATGACTGGCAGCCGATGAGTAATCGGACGGTGGTGGTGGATTCTTGTAGTAGAATGGCAAGTAAGGCAAAATTGGATTAGGAGGTGGAGGGCCATACTCGTACACTGGTGGAGGGAAAAAGTATCCACCCGGCGGCAAATGATACCCCGACGGTGGAGGGTAGTAGACTGGCCCTGAAGGTGGCGGCGGTGATGCAGCAGGGGGAGTTGGTAGCTGCGGTGAAGGTGGTGGCGGTGGGCAGTCGGTAGGGGTGGGTGGAGGAAGGCAAGAATAGGGACATTCATTTGGCGGTGGTGGAGAAGCATAGAGAATGCCTTCATTAGAACTTTTTACTTCAGACTGAGCCTTTCCAAAAGAATAACTGAAAGTTAATGTTAGGATCATTAGTGGAGGAAAAAGGTAGAATTTTGAGGCCATTGTGTTTTCAGAAATGGAGTAATGGAGGACAATTGGGTAGAGATATATACAGGGATCCATGCGAGATGGTGGCCTGTGTAATGGAATATAAGGAGGGTACTTTTTTGTCAGCGATATAGTTGGTTGGAATAAGTGAATTATTATTGGAAACTTTGAAAGCAACTTTGAGTAAATATTTGATTGAATCTCTTACTTTTGAAGCATCTTACGTAAAAATGCAATCAACTGCTTCCTTTTTGCCTTTCTGAGTTTAAGTTGCATTATCAATGTGAAAATTTACTGTATCATGTCACTTATAGGGTCATTATATGTAAATTGTATGATAAATTAACTGATAACCTTGTAAATATGATAACTAACTTCGCTATTACATGCTAACTACATTGATAGCGTCAAAAAACGTTTTACACTGTTAATGTAGCAACGTATGAATCGACGCAAACGAAAATGTCGTTCGAGCTATTCCCTCAACCGTATTTTATTTATTCATTCTACTATTTAGACCCCAAAGTAAGATTTATAATGTTGATCTTGATGAAGACTCTTTTCCCCTATAGCGTTAGCTTTCGAATATATTTGAAAGTCATAAAAACAATTCTTTTCGTTTAAATAATACAAAACCATTCACCTTGTTAGGAGATTGATGGAACAATATAGGGAGAGGAAGAGGGCCTTGGAATGTAAGTTTAGTGGTGCTACTCAGGGAGTGGAAGGGTAGGTGAGGCTGGATTCACAAATCATCCCTAGGAGGGGGAATTTTAAGTACCTTGAGTTTATTATACAGGGGATGAGGAGATTGATGAAGATAACTTAAAGGTAGAGCGGTGGTCAGACTGTCTATGTTATATGAGGCAGAGTATTGGCCAGTCAAGAGCTCTCACGTCCAGAAGATGAAGGTAGCAGAGATGAGGATGTTGAGATGGATGTGCGGGCACACCAGATTAGATAGGATTCAGAATGAAGTTATTCGGGACAAGGTGGGTGTGGTCCCTATTGAGGACAAGATGTGGAAAGCACGACTTAATTGGTTTGGACATGTGAGGAGGAGAAGCACAAACGCTCCGGTAAGGAGGTGTGAGAGGTTGACATTGGAGGACCTTGGAGAGGTAGAGGTAGGTCGAAGAAGAGTTGGGATAAGGTGATTAGGCATGACATGGCGCAACTACAACTGACCGAGGACATGACCCGTGATAGGAAGGGGTGGAGGTCTAAGATTAGGATAGTAGGTTAGGTAGTCTAGATTATTCATACCGGTAGTGTTAGTACGTATTCTCGCATTTGGTTGGTAGTAGGCTTATTTGAATACATTTTTTTTTTCTTTGCTTCTACATGATTTTTCGGTGTTGTCCCGTATTGTTTCTTGTTATTATTGTGGTACCTATGCTTGCCTGAGTCAAGGGTCTATTGGAAACAATATCATTACCTCCACAAAGGTAGGGGTAAGGTTTGCGTACACACTACCCTCCCCAAACCCCACTATGTGGGATTATACTGGGTTTGTTGTTTAAATAATACAAAACCATGGAAATGATATGTAGCTCTAGATTTGAAATTAATATTTTTAACACCGTGAAATATAAAATACTTGTACATTCTATTCATAAATTTATATCAAGATGAATATTTTGAAAAAATATTCAAGGAAAAAAAAAAGGCGAAGGGATAACATAGATAAAGTTCATGAGCATCAATGCAAGCTTGGCTGCATGTGGCTGAAAAGTGCTTCGAATTTATGTGTATTAGTCTGCCTTTGGAACCCAAGGCAACAACGATTGAATCTTTATAGACTTCATTTTAAGAAGGGACTTTCTTAAAGTGTTAATGAGTCTTTATTCCGTGCAAATTAATGCTTATTAATCTTGTTATAACGAAATAAAGAAGGAATTATTGACTCAATTAGTTGTCACTCGAAACCGCAAGACTCCCTTAATCAGATTGCCACACGTATGGGGTCCATTTCTTTAGTTTTATTATCAATCTTCATATATCTTGAATTTCTCAAGTTCAAGTTGGTACATATTATAGGTATATACGCATGCACGTAAAATATTCACGAGAATCGAATCTACCTTTATATGTACCTTTAGGTGATATGTCAATTTCCATGTACAAAAGTAGAAAATCACTCCCTTATCCTCACCTGTAATTGTAAACTGTATGAGTTGATTAATCCTGGCTTTGAGTGAGTTATAATGTCATATGTGAATCATTTGAGAGTGGGATGCTTAATTTGAGAAATAAGTTCGTATTATCAAGAATTTGAGTAGTAAATGAAGAAGTACTATTAGCTCGTAAAGTTTGGGAAACACTTTTTTCTAGAGCTTCTGGATTTACTTTTGGTTTAACATATAGTTTCCCGCTCAAAAGATAGTTTGCTCTTTATCAAATTAAAATACATGTATTGTCTATTGGGGGACAGAAAAGGCTTAAGAAATTATATCAACGCAAAAGTTGCTTCATTTGAACGTACCACTCCATAAATTAAATTACACCATGCATTTCGTGTATATAACTATTTTATTGAACTGCAGTGACCGATTAATAAGTAGGACTAGTTCGGTATATAATGTGAAAGTAAAGTTGGCAATGTTGGAAAAATTTTTGTGTAAAGTGCTTTGTAACTTGTACTACAGCACTTGTGATACACAAACTGTAGTATATTGCTCCAACATTTTCACCACTCTTTAATTAAAGGTAACTTAAGTTGGTTTAGCGAGTCAGGGATCGGAGAAATTTAAGAGAAAGGTGCTCCTAGCGAGATAATACTAGTAATATTCTTGGCAGTTGTTTTTGTTCCTGTTAATAATGCTATTTCTAACTCAAAATAACATGGGTCAAGGTCGGCCTCTGAGATGATGATGATAGGGGTGCAGAAACAGTTATGAGGTTTGCCTTGAAGCATCTACCGTTGAAAGAGTACGTAATGGCTCACTGATCGAGTGCTCTTGCGCCGAAGATGAATGGGGCTAAGTGATCTGCCGAAAGTGTGGGATGTAAACCCAATTCTCTAGTTGGCATAAATACATTAGGGAAAAAGCAATTAATTTTCAGATTTAACTATCTCGGCGGGTAAAAGGGTTTCACGTTTTACTATACGAGCACTATTTTACGTCTTTTATCAAAGCTATTGCTCGAAATTTCTGCAAATTAAGAGCTTCAATAAAATTAAACTTGTTCGATCTTTTTGAAGAAAAATCCTTGCGACTTGCTAAAGGAGGTTGGGTGAATTTCTACTAGCCAAATCAATATGTACTCATTTATTTTATATGTTGATTTAGCTAAAAACGGAGAAATGAAAAGAGCAATCCACTCTTTTTAAAATTTCCAAGGGAATGATTTTAAAAGTTCTAAATTAGAGCATGAAAGCCTTTAAGATACCAGAGCAACGGCTGTTTTAAAACCAGCCAAAATCCTCAAAATTCAGTATTCTTTTTCCTAGAATATTATACAACAGATGTTCTTTATGTCTCAATTTAAATCATATTATCGGAGAAATATAAAAATATTATAAATATTCTTAAAAAAACTTTTAATCATGTAAGTTTTGGGTAAATCATATTTATTATATTAATTAAATAAAGTTTGATGTGATATTTTTTTATTAATTTTTGTACGAACAAATAAAATCACATAAATGTTGGAATGAACAAGTAAAACGAAAAAATAATGACGAGAAAAAAACTAATTTCCAACTCCTCGATATGATAATACTACTATTTGGACATGTGTCGACACCCTACCGTTGATTAACACGTGGCCTCTACAAGCACCTTCTGAAACCAACACGTCTCCAATTCCATATTTAAAAACATCATCACCGCCACTGCCCCATACTTTGACATTGCAAAATCATCCTATTAAAAACCCCACGCCCTGCTTCCTTTTTCAGAATTCATGCTTCTTTTAGCAAAATTTGTGAGTAATATTACAAAAATCGCAGCCTTCTTCTTCTCCCTCTTTGTGCAAGCTTGTCCTCTGACTGTTTATTTGGGTTATATTACAACTACTTAGGAGAAAAATGGCGATTGGTGTTCCATTGTGTGTGCAATGTGGCAATGCTAGCAACCCCTGTAGGTTAGTGATTTTACTTTCGGCTTAAATTATGTCTACTTATGTTTAAAAAAAAAATAAATTAAATCTCTATATGTGTATATTGTTGAACGGAAACCATGGAAGCAGTTATTAAAGTAGGTACGTCACACTTTTTGGCACGGCTCACCGTGCATGAACGTGGCATGCCTTATCCATCGAGCTGACCAGCGAGTCTAAGATTTAAATTCTATGTCTTAAGCCTTTTTAGATCATTCATATTGAACTCATTATATTTTTAAAATTATGGGTTCGTATCCATTCATTGTTGCACTTTTAGTAAATTTTTACGTGCGTCAAAATTATTGGTTCAATTGAACCTGTCGGAATTACACTACTATATATATATATATATATATATATATATATATATATATAAGTGCATTGTTATACTTATTGAATTTACTAACTTTAAATTCTAAATTCGGGTGCAGGTGCAAGGTGGTTGGGCCAACACTTGGTTTCTTGGCTTTCGCTGCAGCGGCAATTGTGGAATGGCCGGTTGGTGCACTCGTTTATTTATTCCGCCACACAAAGGGCCGCCGTATCATGGGTCATCCTGCCACCGTTATTTATCCTTCAGTCACAAACTCCATTCCTATTTAGCTTTTGTCTTTTCTTTTTTTTTCCACCTGTAATAATGATGTGAGAAATGTTGCTTGCATTTTACTTTGTTTTTTCCCCCAGCATAATCGATATTTTCACGTTGTACTTTTGTCAGTTTTAATTAGTACCTAGTAAATAAAAGATAATGTATGCTTTGTTTTGAATCACATACGGTAATGGTTGTCTGTCTTTTGTTCCTCCTATCCTCCAGGCCCTTGTGTCTGTCACTTATTTTTACTTTGTTGCAGCACAATAAATAAGTACAATGCTTTTTTAATGCACTATTTTTTTTGGGTAATATTAATGAACTACTCCTATGATATATGGGCATAGAATGCTTCATGTTTCTGGACTGCGTGACATAGCACGTGTGAACATCTAATTTTTTACCGTGTTTGAATATTTTTCGCTCTCATCTTCCCAGGCGTGTTCCCACTCAACTTTTCTTTGTCCCTCATACTTGTCCCTCATGCTTTGTCCCCCATGCTTGTCCCCCATACTTGTCCCCCAGTCCCTCATGCTTGTCCCACATGTTTTGTCCCCCATGCTTGTCCTACACACACAACCCCCCACATATCCCCATTTTCTTTCTTCACGTGAAGGGGGAAAAAGATGACCAAAAATACCATCTTCTTCCCTCTATTAATTCCAGCAAGAGGACACCCAAAAAAAAAAAAAAAAAAAAAAAAAAAAAACAGTTCGTGCTTCCCTCTTCACTCATCTTCCTCAGCCTCTAAGCTCACCCAAAATGAGCTTTGCAAACCCCTCTAAACTCCAGCAAAATCCAGCAGCTTTTTAGCTACAAAAAAATACCAAAAATCAGCCTCCAAAACAAATTCAGAACAGTCCAAAAACGAGCTGAAAATTCATCCCAAAACCAGCCCTCTTCTCAGTCCAAAAATGACTCCAAAACAGCCCCGAACAACCTCCTGAAACGCAGCAAAAGACCAGCTGCGAACAACCCCAAAATCCAGCTCTAATACAATCCGAAACAGACCCAAAACAGCCCCAAAATCACTCAAAAATGTAGCTGAAATCACTCTCAAAACACAGAAAAATCAGCACCTAAAACATGACAAAAACAGTCCCAAAACAACCCCATAAACTTCAGCTAAAATGAGTCCCGAAATCCAGCTGAAAGCAACCCAAAACATCTACAATCTGAAAACCACCACGAAAGTTGTCGTCCTTCAGCCAAAACCAGTAGCTCCTTCCTACTCTGTTATTCACTACAAACGAGCCGAGTTCGAGGCGGTTTGGTCGAGGTTCTTTGAGGTTCCGGCAAGGCATTTGATTTCTTGTTCGAAGTTCTTATTTGCTTGACGATTCAAGAATATTTGCAACTGTAGAGGTCCGATCTTTTTATCTTGTTTGCTTTGTCTGTTTATTGTTCCATTTAGATGATATGTGTTAATATGCCTTTTGCTTGGATTTGTTATTCTCCTTTTGAGCACATAATTTTTCTTAGTTGTTAATTCTTATCGTTAAGCTTATTGGTCTTTGTTGTTGAGTGAGAATCTAGAAGGAACATTTCAGAAAAAATTAAACTTGAAAAAATGAGAATAAGTGATGGTAACCGTGATGCATTTGGTCCTAAGGTTTGGTATTGTAAAAATTTATTTTCTTTATCAACATATTTTAATCAAGTTTAGTTTTTTTTTTCCTAACGCTAGTTTTATCATTTGGTCGAATTAATTTCTAACGTTGTCTTAACTGTTTTTATAAAATTTTTATCAATCATTCAATAATCCTCTCTTGATTTGTAATCAGTACTAAATAAAATATTTTCATAACTCTTGAGCCTTATAATAATCTTGACTTAGAAAATAAATAACTCACAATTCGCTAGTTTGCTTTAGGTGCGCTTTTAATTAGTTTATCGCGATTATGTATACGTTCGCGTGACATAATTGTAATTTCTAAAATTAAAATCGAAGTATGTGTTCGTGCAATTTTTGCCAAAACAATCTTAATATAATAAAATGCTATTAATTGTGTACATGTACGAGTGACATGATTTTGGTACAATAAACAAACGGATTCACACACGTGATTCGTTTCAAAGATAATTCCATATTTTAATATTTAAAAGCGGATAGAAAAAATATGGAAACCAATAAATCACAGTTTATCCAAAAATAATATAAGTCAAACGTGGTCTATTAAGCGACCGTGCTAAAACCACGGGGCTCGGAGAATGCCTTACACCTTCTCCCCGGTCAACGGAATTCCTTACCCGAACTTTATTTTCGCAGACCAATAATAATAGAGTCAAACATTCCTTTGACTAGAGATTCAAATAAAAGGTGACTTGGAACACCAAAAAAATTAATTCCGAGTGGCGACTCTGTAGATAAAATAATCCCTAATCAAGTTTGTCACTTTAATTGGAAAAACTCTTTAACCCACCATTCATAATACACAACATATTTATCTTTTGTGGGGGCACAAAAGGAGGTGTGACAGCTCTGGCGACTCTGCTGGGGAAACCCTAAGAATTCGAGCTTGTACATTGACTTTGTTTGGCTTTATTAATTTTTGTATATATTGTGATTTATTTGGGCCTAATGTGTGACTTGTCCATTTTTTTCCGTTTTGATATTGTTGAACTGTACATATAAATTGTATCCTCTCGCACCCCTCTGAGTCTTCTTATAGTTAGTTATGTTGTGTTTGCCTACCAGCATCACAAAATTTCTGTCTTGAGATAAAGCCAGTTAGCCTACCAGCTTCTAGTGAAGGATTTAGTCACACATGCTTAGGCGGGAAAGCCATTAGCTAGCCAGTGCTGTTCTACTACTGGTGACGCTTGACGCTCCTCGGCTCGGGTTGTCCGCCCGAGTAAGCCAGGTCTAGATACCATCTCCTTTAGGATTTACAAACTTAGAAGAACAAGCCACAAGCAATGAATATCCTTAGTAGGCTACGCTTTATTTGCATCATGTGCATTTTACTTAGCAGCGCTCGACACAAGGGGCGAGTTCTGATTTAGGACAGGCCTTGTTGAGACCATTATGTCATGTTATGTGCTACTTGTTGCATTATTTGGGAGGCTTGCATGTCGACCAACTTTAGCATAAATCAGTTGAACGAACAGAGAAAATGTGGTCTAATGCATATGGTTTTTAAAGATTAATTTTCATAAAAAAGAAAAAAGAACATAGTCGATTTTACCGAACTACGCGAGTCTGATTCTCACCGAATGTGAGATACGTAGGCAAACCTCATCGGTTCCGGCCCCAATTTTCAAAAAAAAAAAAAAATTCAAAAATATTTTCCTTTTCCTTAATTCCCTATTTACAATTCTTTCCTTAGAAAATCAAAAAATAAAATACTAAATCCAAAAATATATATTTTTTATAGTCCGACGGTTTAGCTTTTATTTATTTATTTATTTATTTATATTCTTTTATAGAGTCAAAACCCGAGAAATCGAAATTTTTGTGTGTCAATAATATTTGATCAAAGCCTAACCCCGTGTCTGGGTAGACAGGTATACCATGAGTGGGGAAAGAGGTAAGTCTGAAAAGAGGCCCAGATCAGAAGGGATACCAGATTTTCTCATTGTCGATCAGATACTACAGTTGTTGTGGGATTGGTGGAGATACTTTAAGGAATATGAGCGAAACCAGATAAAGAAATACTTGGGACATTTGGTTCACATGATTACGATAAAGCCCAGGAGGGATGTGATTGAAGCTTTGATTCCGCACTGGGATCCTGAAAACAATGTGTTCCATTTTACCGACTGTGAAATGACTCCGACCTTGGAGGAAATCGCCCATTTCCAAGGGTGGGGCCGCAATCTTCGCCGCCAAAGGCCCATAGTACCAAAAAATGTGAACGAGGGTAGGTTTCTGAAGCTTTTGAACATAAATTACGGACACAATATGAAGGTCTAGGAGGCAAATGGGTTAAGTTGGGCTTTTTATTTTAGTTGTATGGCCTAGAATGCAATTTTGAAAGGAATGTGGGAAAATTGAAATCAAAGAAAGATAAGGAAACATGGAAGGTACATAGAAGGTTTGCATTTATGGTCACTTTTTTTGGGCGTGTAGTCTTCCCAGAAAGAGAGGGACGCATTGACATCCGCTTGGCAGGTGTAGTTGAGGCTCTGACCTCAGAAGGGGGTGATTATACTTTGGTCCCTATGATTCTTTCTTGCATTTTCCGTACTTTAACTAGATGTAAAATGGGTGCGCGAAACTTTGATGGTTGCAACATTTTGTTACAGATATGATTTTTGGAGCATTTCTATCCTTATCCTACGATCACTAATTTTAGTGAGCTATGGCCCAATCATACTTATGATCACCAGAAAAGAATTGACGAATGTGACTTACTAGAGGGGATTGGTGCCTGGAAAGAACTACTTCTTACTCTGTCTGCCAAACGGATCACTTGGAACTACGATTGGTTCTCCTCTAAAGAGGTCATTTGTGAGTCTGCATACCATTCTTATTTGGTACTCATAGGATTGTATGGTGTTCAGTCTTATGCTCCACTTCGGGTAATGCGCCAATTTGCACGACTACAGGAGGTGCCACCAACACGAGATATGAGCAAGTTCTGTTATGATTTTGGTAAAGATCAACCTCATGATGAAGAAGAAATTATGAAAATTTGGTATGCAAGTAAAGTTTCGGAGTTGAATGATATGGTAGAAGACCGAAATCATGGAGATCTGAGCCCTGAATATATTACCTGGTTTCATGACCCTTCGTCGCTTAGAGATAGGCTTGAAGGATCCAACAGGAGGAGAATTCAAAGAGCTATAGAAAGGTTAAAAGAGGAATTGGAGCATTCCCGGATGACCATATCTAAACAACAAACCCAACTGCAAGCCGGAGTCGCTCAGATTCGTTTAAATATTGAGAAAGATTATCAATCGGCCTTACGGGGCATGGATAAAGATCTAAAGCATGCTAAAAATGAGGCGGCCAGCTTAGAAGAAGAATTGGCAAGCACTATTGGTTTAGTTAGAAGAGTTGAGGCGAATAACAATATTGAAATGCATAAGCTGCAAGAAGACTTGAGTATCATTGAAGAGGATGCGCACCAGCAACAATTGGAGTTTGATCAGCAGAGAGAGCAGTTTGAAAGAGAAAGGGCCCATTGGATACACTCAAAGGGTCAGTTTCTTTCACAAATGGAAGAAATAAAAAGGCATAAGGGAGGTAATCAACATG